ACACACACACACACACACACACACACACACACAGAAAATGCACTGTAACAAGCATTTACCGCGGTGATACTAGACAGGCTGGATGCCTGTGCAGCGTATTAATCGTTAAAAATTGTCGGCCTATCTCACGGCAGGATCGAAATGGTGGCGGCGCATGCGACCGTATTAACATACGGCATTAGGTATTCCGCATGCGAAGCAACCGGCAAGCTTTACTTGGATTTCTGCGGCAATTACACGCGCCTAATGGCCACCGCCCCTTTGCGGACAACGTCGACGCACAGCGTGCGCGCGCGAGACCGCGCTCCGAATTAACGCTATCCGACGATAAGCGGGGTTATATGCGAATTAACGAGCCATATACGACAAGTCAGCTCGCACACGACACACACACACACACACACACACACACACACACACACACAGACAATTGGGTTCTAAACTCGATTCGATGAAGGATTTCTGAACACAGTTTTGTGTCCGAAGAATCAGTATGGAATTTCCGATTTGACCTGAATCACGGTCGATTGGGAATAAATATTGGTGATCAAATGAAAAATGAAAATTTTCTGCACTTTTTAGTAGAAATTGTTATTAACAGTATTAACTGGAATTTGTTTTGTAAAGAAGTAGAAATTTATTTGACGAATAAATTAAATTTCACTTACCAAGTGTTCTTAGAAATGAGATAGTTGTTGGTAAATGAATTCAATTTATTATAATAAATAATTGAACAATGAGAAATTAGTCCTAAATCATCTCATCCTAATATAATTGTTAATATATTAGGATTTAAAATTAATACAATTATTGATAATGAAAATAACATTATTAAATAATAAACACGTTTTAATATATAATTACTTAAATTTATATATCTAATCCTAGGGATTAAAGTATGGAATAAAAAGAGAGTAAAGAGCTATAAAATATAGATACAAATATTACAAATGATAGATACAATGATTCCAACTGACAATTAACTTAACTTTTGAACAATTATGGATTATGTGTGCCAAAACTGAAGTTAATCTTTAGAGGATTAAATTGATAATTTTCAATATTGGAAAAGTGAAGCAATGCTTCAAAATTGACCGTATCTTTTATGTTCTCGGTGAGATTCTTTGTGAAAGATTCTCTTGCAACTTGTTCGTTTCGAAACGAACGAAATTAACGAATTGACAGAACTAATTATTCGATCGATGAAGTCCTTAAGATGCTCAAATATTTTTGATGGATAAATTTCTAAATTCTGAATCGAATTGCAAGATTCGAAGAGTGTATAATCATTCGTATAATCGCGCAACTGTTCCATCGCAGGTGCAGCGTAAATGCAATTTGCTGTTTCAATTTGTAGCGACACATTGAAAATACGGCGGACGTTGCTGTCACAAACGAGCAACCATGCGAAAGTATGGCCGATCACGAGAGGACGACACACGAGGAGTCGACGCGTTCTACATTTTCACGGTGAACGGAGACGAGGAAATCGTGCTGATGATGTCGCGAGAATCACGCTTGCGTGAACGTCAACTTCCTTTAATTTGCTTCGCGCCGGTGTTCGAGACCGTAATAAGCAAGCACATTTCGTTTACAGGCGAGATGCACGCTTAAAAAAAAGAAAAAAATGTAACTTGAAAACTCACACTACAAGTGTGACAGGGAAAAAATGGATCAATTGTGCAGACTTTTTGAAGCTAGAAGTTCGAGAAATGAAAGGAACACGTTGATTGAAATACAATCCTACAAAAATTAAAATTACGTATTTCTATGTAATTGTGCGCGATAGTAGCACGAGCAATGAAATTAAAGTTGAAAAAGGCTCGTGCGCAAGTCGACTTTCAATCTGTACGTGAAATGTTTAAGCAGAAGAAAGGTTGTTTAAAAAAGAAAGTAAAAATTTCTAACTAAACAGAACTTATGAACTTATCAACTTGTCAATTGAAAAAAGCTACGTATTAACGAGGACTAATAATTAACAGAGTGAAATTAAAATATAGATTAAACGTCAAGATCAACTACGATGCACAATTAGATTTTCCAAATAATGAATAGTTTCTCGTAGATCTTTTAATTTTACACCGTCGAATATGAAATTTCAATCCATCACGAACGAATGGCGAATTTGTTTTATTTTGCTAAAAATATGATTCTGAAAATAATATTCCTAAAGTGTTAAAAATGTTCTGATAATGGTACCAATTAATTAATCAATCAAGATTAAATGTTTGCTCAAATACTTGGACAATTGAAACTTTGATCAATTTTCACTAGACAAGCACACTACAATAGTAGAAATATTTCCTTCCAAAAATAATAAATTTTTTACTCTACTCGATCGATTTGCTTCATTTTGCTAAAAATATGATAATTCTGAGAATAATATTCCTAAATTATTAAAGATACTCTGACGACGGTATACGTAATTAGTTAATCAAGATTAAATGTTTGCTCAAATACTTGGACAATTGAAACTTTGATCAATTTTCACTAGACAAGCACACTACAATAGTAGAAATATTTCCTTCCAAAAATAATAAATTTTTTACTCTACTCGATCGATTTGCTTCATTTTGCTAAAAATATGATAATTCTGAGAATAATATTCCTAAATTATTAAAGATACTCTGACGACGGTATACGTAATTCAATCAATAATACGTAATAATCAATAATACGTAAGTCAATCAAGATTAAATGTTTGCTCAAATACTCAGATATAATCGAAACTTCGATCAATTTTCACAAATTAAGTTTCACACCACACAAGCACACTCTAGAAATATTTCACCTATTCCTCCAAAAAATAATAAATTTTTATTCTATTCGAAATATTCCACCAATTCCTCGAAAGATGTAATAAATTTTTACTCTACCAGCAGACCATCGTCACTCGACGCGAAATACCACAGTGAACGATGGAGGAAATTCTACTCGACAGAAATTTCTCATGCTCGGAAAGTGCGCTGTTGGAAATGTTACAATGTACGTGGTTAATTACAAGCCGATCGCGAAACAATAAACCGAACCGGGCGCGCGTCCAGTGTAACTTGAAACGTTATCTTAAAAGCTATCTAATGGAAGTGTTTCCACGGATCGCGATCAAAATAGTGGTAGATCACCGAGCGATTAGAGGCGAGCTGGCGCCCGCGGATCGTACAATTTCTCCCGGTACGTTGTCCCGAACACTGGCGCGGCCACGTTTTTGCAAATGCAAAACGAGGCGCACAAGTGTAATACGGTACGATGAGGTGCAGCGAAAGTAACTGAGCTATTATGCCGCCGAGTATATAAGGCTCAGTGTAGAAAACGAGGCGGTTCAGTCGGTGGTTACACGCCACGTCAAAACATACGCGAACTCGACGATGAATATCAAGGTAAGCTCGACTCTGATTTCCCTAGTCAGAATCCCTAGGGCAGAAGTTTCCAGTTCGTGCTCGGTTTCAGTCTCAGAGTAGAACTCGGAAAGTGTAATTCGGTTGATTAGCCGAGTGATTACATCGATTAAAATAAATCACTTTATTTGGAAATGAAGTTCAATTGGGACTAGATGATTGCATTTCAAAAAACTTTGAAATTTTCATGTCGAGTCACTCTTTTTTTTCTTTTTTTTTTTTTCATTAATTGAAGAAATTAATAGAACATTCTAGAACTTCGAAAGTATTTTGAGCGTTTCCACGTACGCAGTGAGAAAGGAAATTTTCATCTAGTTTCTGAAGGAAGATCTTTGAAATATACAGAGCGTCACTCTAACTTTCTTTAAAATCGAATAATGGTATTAAAATTTAGACACGAAGGAACCCGAATCTTTTTAATTTCCCTTGTTTATTATATCTTGGATGACCTATTGCTTGTACAATTTTAAAATCTTCAGTCACGATTTTAAACCGAGAAATTACGACCACATCTACGAGCTCATCAAAACGTCAATTGCCAACACGAACTAGCAATTCCAATCGAATGGCAAATTAGTTCATCAATCTTGAAACTTTCACTCGCAGTTGGTCATCGTCCTGGTGGCAGTGGCCGCGCGAGCGAGTTACGCGACGAACGACGAGAAAGCAGCGGAGGATGGCGCGTCGTCGCAGGCCTCGCCTGCAGCCGTAGATTCTCCGGAGAAGAAGACGGAGAAACGTGGGTTGCACGGCAGTTACGGCGACTTAGGCGGTGGCGGAGGTGGTGACCTGGGCGGAGGCGGCTACGACCATCACGAGCACGTGAAGGCGGTGACGGTGGTGAAGAAGGTGCCGGTGCCGTACGAGGTGACCAAGCACGTGCCTTATCTGGTGGAGAAGCACGTCCCGTACGAGGTGAAGGTCGGCGTTCCCCAGCCGTACACCGTGGAGAAGCACGTACCTTACCCGGTGAAGGTGTTCGTGAAGGTGCCGGTGCACGTGCCGCAGCCGTACACCGTGGAAAAGAAGATCCCTTACGAAGTCAAAGTACCGGTGGACAAGCCGTACGAGGTAAAGGTGTTGGTGCCGCAGCCGTACACCGTGGAGAAGCACATACCGGTGCCGGTTAAGGTGCCTGTACCGCAGCCTTACACCGTCGAGAAGCACGTGCCGTACCCAGTGAAGGTCAAAGTTCCGGTGCCGCAACCGTACCCAGTCGAGAAGCCGGTACCGTACGAGGTTAAGGTACCAGTGGACAAACCGTACCCGGTCACTGTGCCCAAACCGTACCCGGTCACCGTCGAGAAACCGTATCCAGTGTCGATCGACAAGCTGGTGCCCTACGAGGTCAAGGTACCAGTGGACAAGCCGTACCCCGTGCCAGTAGAGAAACCGTATCCCGTCCCTGTCAAGGTACCGGTCCCTCAACCGTACCCTGTCGAGAAACCGGTACCAGTCCCCGTCCCAAAGCCTGTCCCCTATCCTGTCAAGGTACCCGTAGACAAACCGTACATCGTCGAGAAGGAAGTACCTGTGCCGGTGGAGAAAGAGGTGCCGGTACCAGTGAAGGTGCCTGTCGCCGTACCGATTCACGAAAGTCACGGTGGGGGCGGTGGAGGCTACGAAGATTATTCTGGCTACGGCGGAGATGGCGGCATATCGTACTCTCATCATCGTTGATTCTTCCCGGCGATCGAGACGCTTTCTTCGACGTGTTAAGGTTCTTTGTACACGCGTTGCTCCACCTGTGGGCGATCGTCTCTGTCTCTTCGCGGATTTGACAATCGAGGAAGCGAGCCGTCGATGAAATTCAACGTTTCGATTTGTCTACACTTCGTAGTCTTTCCTTTTCTTTCTTTCTTTTTTTTTTTTTTTTTTTTTTTTTTTTTGTGGAAAGGAATAAAGAGGTATCGCGAGTTGTCTTGCGTTGAGGCCGCGAGACGGGGGTCTTCAGCCTCTTTGTAGCTAGTGCTTCTCTCAAGCGTAACGTGTCTTTCAGATTTTTATGTAACTTAGGAGGATGCTCGTGTAACTGGATGATATTAGCGATTTCTTCGTGACAGCCTCCCCTTCTGATTCATTCGCGTGTGATCAATGTCATTCTTTACGTAGTTCGACTCGAAGGGATGAACTTCGGGGAGAGATAGTAAATGAAATCTCCCCTTTTCTTTAGATTTCACTAGAGATGCCTTGAATTTTCAATATCTCGAACTCCATCTTGTCGATTCGACGAGACCCAATATTTTCAAATAACAGTAACCAATGTTATCTAACTTTAAATATCGAACTTGCAATATTTAATGGGATAATTTAGTTTAGAAGGATCTTCTTGAAGATCTAAGAAATTTTTCACGAAGAAGAAATGTACATCTGAATAGCCTCGTTCGATCGCAGAATTTTATGGGGATCATCAGTGTAAAAATTTATTAGTTGTTCCAAAGAAAACACTAACATTAACGGCGTTTAAGCGAGCATAAATTAGTCGACGTAAACGCTGCCGCGCGAAATTGCAATTCTCGCCGCAGTGAAACACTTTTGTACCTAATTTAAGTTAAGAGCGAGATAGAGTGTCTTTTTTTGTATCAAAGATTTATAATAAATACCCGTCTGTCATCTAACACGATCAGCTATTATTTCCCTCCTTCATCTCGTCACGCGAGTGTTTCAGTTTCTATCTATTTCTTATTGGAAGTGTATTTTCGAATTTTCTATCACGATTCGTGCAACCTAACGTAACTACATATTATAGCGAATTTAAAATGGCTACTTAATGACGTAACTGCGTCATAATTTATTTACCGACGATTAACATTTAATGAAATTTACAATAGCGTCGAAGGATTAAGATCCAATTAATTTTCTTTCCCCTCTGCATTTAATAAAATCACACTGTT